AGTCTGTGAATATGACAGTTACTGGGAAAAGGATAGGCTAGTGAGGAAAAGATATAAACGTAACAAATAATTTAAAGCAACACAACGGCTTAGAATAACAGTTTATTAGCTTTACTTAATTGTTCTCTAACAAACTGAACACTTTAAGAAATAGACACTATTTTTAATTAGTATTCCAATTTTTATAACAGTTTTTCCAGATGATCTTAAATAGTGGTTTGGTTACTTTAATAGGAGAAATTTCACATCAACATATATCAATTAATAACTTTTAAGCAAAGGTGAAATTTAGGCTGGTTTATGTCTGAATGATTTAAAAAAAAAAAAATCTGTTTAATCGAAACCAAATTTAGGCAGTTTTTGCATGCTGGTAGTATTTCCAAATAGGGATTTTTTTTTCTTCAGTGGGGCAGAGAAGCCATGAATTTCTCGGGGTACCTATCAGTAATAACAAAAAAACTTCTATTCCTTGAGATAAAACCTCCCACTTTCAGATAAAGCAAGCCCACTTTTGGGAATAACAAAGATTCCTACACTCCTTATAGAAGAGGGGGAGAAGCTGGGAGTGATGCTGGGAGGAAAGACGTCCATCACCTATTCACAGTACTTGATGGGAGGGAGGGGGAGGGAGCATGTAAGATTTTTTGGAAATATTCAATATTTTACTCCACTAATTATGAATTTAAGTCTGATACCATTAACCTAGGCAAAAAATACATTTTCCCTTGGGGGGTGGGGAGGAGTATTAGCTTGAAGCCATACCAATTTAGATTTTATCAGTACTTGAGACCCCTAAAAACAAAATAAGCAAAGAACATGAAGACCACAAAACGAAGGGTTCCCATGGGGACCAGCGGGCTCTTGATGAGATTCCCCTGCCAGTATACAATTTTTGACACTGTCTTGAGGAGATGCCCCCCTCCCACACCTGAATTGTACATATACTACCTTTTCACTACCCTCCCTGATATGAGAAGTTAAGAACATCTCATATTCTTCACACTGTATTTACCATCTCAGTATCGGGGACAATGTGGGCAGGCTTTAGCATGACTGCCTCCCGTGTAGCTCAGAGATGGTGTGACATCACCAGCAAGGTATGCTGCCAAAACATCGACCTAATCAGGAAAAAATGTGATCCTTAGGAGAAGACAATAACCAGTTTGCAAATTTAACCTATGAATGCTATTTATAATAAATATCTTTCTAACATAAGGTGAACATACTAAGTTTTTCTAATTTCTAAGCCATACTTTTTAAAAAGTGAAGATGATATGAACTAGTTTTTACTCTGAATGCTGAACTATCATTCAGCATGCTAAGAATTATCCACAAGATTATCAAGGTAAAAGATGAAAACAAACTGAACTTTGCATGCAAAAATGCCAAATAGTTAGAGAACCCACCTATTCAGAAAAGGTACGCTTTGGTGTTCCTATGTGCTAGGTCTTAGACTTGCTATCATGAACTAACTGGAAAGCATATTAAAAAGCAGATTCCTACATCTCACCTCTGGACACTGATCCAGTAGTTCTGAAGTGGGCCCAAGAACCTGCATTTCTAACTCACTTCTCCTGGTGATTCTGATGCAACCAACTTTAGGAATAACTGCTTTAGGATTTCGCAGCACCTGAGGGACTTTGCTTCACTCACTGCAGAAATACTGAACATCTGTCATTTATTCAACACACCATCCATCTATTGCACAAAACCCTACTGGGCTAATGCTATTAGGAAGCTCCAGGATAAACTGCTAAATAAACCACCTTTCACAGCCCTTCATTCAGTGTTTCAATATTCCAATTCCTAGGAATTCTACCAAATGCATACTAAATGCTAGGTGGCTTGGAAGACAACTTGAGGAGCACATAAACATCTGAATACTCACATATGATGTATGTACTAATTAGTCTACTGCAGCTTTCTAAAGGGAAAGAGTTTTGCCACATTAAATATAAGAGTTTTAAGAGCCTGGTCTTAGCCAAACTCTTTGAGCACTAAGGTCTCAACTCTCTTATTGGGGGCAGCGGCTAAAGGAAGAACTTCAGATGGGCTCCCATAAATTCTATTCAATTAAAGCAGTGTGAAAAGGTATGCCAGGAAGCGAGACCTACAGGGGCATTATGTGCAGAGCCTGAGAAGATCAGCTTGCCAGGGAAGAGCCAGGCTGACCACCACAGAAAGTAGTAATAATACTGGGTCAACTCCAAAGTTGACTCAAATGATATGATAAAAGAGTAGGGAAATACAAGAGAAGTTTGAGTGAGAAGCAACATGAGGAGAGTAGTGTTTGTGTAAGTTTAGCCCAACAGCCACCACCGGGATGGACTGCAAGAAGGATAAAAAGGCTAATTTATGGAATGGTAACCCAGAGAATGGAATGGTTTAAATGGAGCTTCCAAAAGGTACTTGAAGCAGCAAACATGAGGAAAAAACTGGCTCAAGATGTTGCCTAAGAACACAAAACATGTCTCAGTGAAAATAAGAGGAAAAAAAACATACAAAGAACAAACAGACAAAAATGGTGCTCTGTAGTTTTGGAAAATGGTCTGCTTTGCCTCTCAGAGAAATCTGGGCCAAATTGAGGATACCAGCTGTTATCTGATATTTTTACAGGAACTGAAAGGGGGCGGGGAAAGCAGTAGCCTGCTGCTTCCCCACCACTCCCACCCCCATTTCAGAAAATCAGAAGAGAAGTAGCAGATGTCAGTTTAAAAGCCACAAGGCATTACTGTCCTTTCTTCCACATACTCTGCCCAAGCAGCTGGGCCCTGAAGAGAAAGCCGGGCAATGGGCAGGGAGGAAGCAGCTGTCATCAATGGACTCCATGCAGGCCATGGAAATTTACTCTCTGGTGACCCGTTTCCCCTGCATTTCTGCCTTCTTGTGGACATTATTGCAAAAGAACTTACAGCAAAAGAACTGACTCACTAGAATGAAATAAGGGTGGCTATTTCTGGAATGGAGAAAAGGGTATGTTCTGGTGTGAGCCATCCCAACCATCTATTCCAATTTCTTCTTAACCACAACTCAGGACCTCAACACTAAGATAAATTAGCAGCAATTCTGGAAATCAATTTAACATGGGGAGGCCTGCAAAAGTCCTCAGGAGGACAGAGAGCACAGAAAACAATCTGAAGATAACTGGATATTAGAGGTCTTTTTTGACAGCATTTGTTATTACTTAATAGTAACAGTGCTTAATAGTACTAGTAAAATAGGGCGCCTGTGTGGCTCAGTCGTCGAGCATCTGCCTTCGGCTCAGGTCATGATCCCAGGGTCCTGGGATCAAACCCCGCATTGGGCTCTCTGCTCAGCGGGAAGCCAGCTTCTCCCTCTCCTACTCCCCCTGCTTGTGTTCCTGCTCTCGCTCGCTCTCTCTGTCAAATAAATAAATAAAATCTTTAAATAAAAAAAAAAAAAGTACTAATAAAAGGTTAACCTTTGTGACACAAAAAATGTGCAGAGAAGTATAGAAATTAGAAAAAGGAATTCATATTAAAAAACCAGGTCCTCGTGATCACAGACTGTATTAGAAATCTAATTTTTTCCCCTCAAATTTTGGTAGCACAATAACGAGCTCATTTTCTGGCTAAAGAGCGAATTTTTTCAAAAGACATTTTCTTAATCAACAAACATGTAGAATCAATCCTTGGACACCTTACATCCAAATATATTTGGGAGCCCCCCCCATACAGTTCCCTTTAGATGAGACAGAGCTAGGAGGCATTTTTCCTATGGACCAATAAATATAAAGAATGAGATGTCAAAACTATCCAGAGCTAATGAATTACCTTAGCTGACAATTCTGAGAGAAACAACTTTTAAGCACAAAGATGACACTGCATTTCCAGATTTCTGAAAAAATGAGCAGAAATCTTCTAGACAAGTCTCTAAGCAAGATGGATGCCACAATCAGCCTTGACTAACTTCCCCTCATCACTTCAGGCTGTAGTCTGACCTGACTTCTTAAATCAAGGGTGGAAAATAGGTTCCAACTTGAGTCCACTGATAGAGGTTGTCTGGAACACTATTTTGAAAAATATTTGGGAGCCACATCTAGACTCAGTGAGAAAGACTGCCATGATTGATCGGCAATGTCTGCACTGGGCAGGAGAGGCAAAATTGATGGCATGTGCACTAAGGATTTGCCAGAAGCAACATCCCTTTTATTTTCTAAAAGAAATCTATACTGCAAATTGCATTTACTTCTTATCCAGACACAATCTATGTCCGCATTCCAAAAATTCAAAAAAGCTGGAAAATACCCACAAATTACCGACCAATTGTCTTGAAAAACGTAACAGGAAAAATAACCTGTGTGGCATGTAAGCAGGTCCAGTCAGTCTCCTCAAAGTTAGAGCAGTCAGAACAGAGCCGAAGGACCACATCCAGCTTCCCAGCTGTTTTTTATGATCCAGGAGCTAAGAATGATTTTTACATTTTTAAATGACTGGGACAAAAGAAAAAGACTGTTTTGTGACACATGAATAGGACATGAAATTCAAGTTTCAGCTTCCATAAATAAAGTCTTCTAAGATCACAGTCGCATCCATTCATTCCCGTAGTTATTGGCTATGGCTGCTTCAAGCTACAAGGGCAGAGCTAAGAAGTCATGACAGAGACCGCACGGCCCACAAAGCCTAACATATTTACTACTCAGCCCTTTACAGAACAAGTCTGCCAAGCCCTAGGCTCAAAGAACTGGTCAAAGGTTTCCTCAAGCTATACTTCTCCAAAGGAAGGAGATGTAATTCAGCAGGCTTCACAGAATACTTAGCAAAGAAAGTTGCTGCTGTTCACCCCTCCCCTTAATACAGGAGTGATTACATAAAATACTCGTGAACAGTTTCCCCCATCATGCAACAAACAAAAAATTCTGCTATGCCTCCCAGAGAAGTGTCTATGTGGGCATGAAACAAAGGAAGAGAACTACAAGAAGACTTGAATCGTTTTTAATCTCTGTTCTGCAAGTAGATATAAAAAAATTTTAAACATACTTTGATTGTTTTGGTTTGAAGTCTCAATCCATTCAGGGTATTGATAGCCTTCTCTGCATCCTTAGGGTCAATGTAGTTCACAAAGCCATATCCCAAGCTCTGCCCTAATGAAAGGGAAGGAGAAAAAAGGCATATATTAGTTCTACACCACTGATGACAGATCCGCTCTCATTTTGGCATATGGTCAGGTCATTAACACCAGCACGTTTTCTCAATAGTAAAAAGAAGTCTACATTAATTCTCCTAGAAATATACATGTGGTCTTTTTTTTCAGCTTCTGTCTACTACATTTGCAAGTTTAAACATCAGTTAGAATTCAGCAAGCTGTGCATTTAAAAACAAAACAACAACAACAACCCCACTCTCACCCCCACATCTCCAAAGCATTCCATCAAACATGTCCTGCCTGAGCCAGAGCACCCAGCAGCAAATGCAAGGTTCAGCTTCAGAAACTGTGGGTACAAGTCTCCGCCAAGCTGCTGAGTGGGCTTCATGGGCACGACTTTTTCAGTTTCATTTTCTTTACCCATAAAAGGGGAAGGTGTCAAGCATCAACCAAGAATCTGTCAGCATTCTGTACATTGTAACCTGACAAACTTACAGCCTTTACCAAGTACAATTATTTCCATTTAAAAGGTGAAGAACTGTGTGTTCACATGTGCACATATATGTATACATGTACATTTATTTTATAGGAGAGCCTCTTCAAATAAATTGAATCCAATTTTCTAAAAAAGGTTTGATGACCTACATAAGGATACAGGGAAATGTGAACACAAAGATTTACACCGAGAACATCCAAGCCAATGAGAACATGCAGGAAAGGAAGAAAGAGTATAAACAAAAATAATAAAACACAATTTCTGAAGAGTTGCTTAACAAGGAGTATTGTGTTGTTTTTCCCTATCATCTGAGCGCTCTAACCCCTGGCTCAATGATATCCCAGCTCTCAAACAAAATGGAAGGTATTCAAGGGATTGTAATCAATGGAATGCACACATAAGTAAAGCCAATCCGAAAGGTCAATTTTTCAACTAAGAGGAAGTTTCTCAGTTTCAGAAGGTAAGAAACACTAAAGGAGAATAAGTAACAAAAATGGACATAAGACAGGTTTAGTCTACTAAAAGTCAAACCAAATTAATTAAGGGTTTCCCAGGAGATGCTCAGTAAAGGTCCAAATACTTTTTATTAAATATATTTTTTCATCAATTTCATAGCAAACTGAGGGATTTTTTTCCTTGATGAGAGAAGGTGCATGTGGTTATGAATACAGGTATTTAGGATAGCCACACTGGTTACCCTAATGTGGTTCCCTATTAACTACACAAGAAGAGAGAGAGAGAGAACACTAAATACAGTACACCAAATAACCATGAAAACTTGTGGTTGTATTTTGGGGCCATTATCAGAATTTGAGTGTTGTACAACACCCAAAACTAATATGTCAACTTACCTCAATTAAAAAAAAAAAAAATTGGGTAATCACCGCCAACTTATGCCCTCTTATCAAATTGTATTTTTTTTCCTGTTTTTAAAAAAAGAGGGTGACAGAAGAGCTAAAACTAATTCGGTTCATTATTTTTTCTCACACTAATCAGAAATTTTGTTTTACTCATGGTTCTATTTTTAAAAAGTTCCACGGGAAGCCACTGTATTTTAAGCATTCAGCTTTTTACTAATTCGACATTTACCATGGGTCTATCGCACGCATAGTGCCCTCTTACAAAATGTGCTGCAGTTCTATTGTCTTTGAGCAGGACTCATATGGGCTAAACATAAAAGCTGCTCAAGGCAGCAGTTTATGATGGACACACAAGAGTTCTAATCCTGCCTCTGCTGTTTACCAGCTCTCTGACTTTGAAGAAGCTGCTCAACTTCTCTGAGCCCTATCTTCCTTACTTCTAAAATGAGAGTAATTTCTACCCAACAAGGTTGCTGAGGCAGTGATGAGAACATTCACTACTGATGAAAGTAAACCATTTTAGTCAAAAGATAAAATAAAAAAATTAACATATCCACTATATGTTAATGAGGTTCCATGTATTCATTTAAAATTAAATCATGAGGCCCTTGGATGGCTCAGTCCATTAACCGGTTAAGCATCCGACTCTTGATTTCGGCTGCGGTAGTGATCTCAGGGTTGTGGATCAAGCCCCTCGTTGGGCTCTGCTCCAAATTCTCTCTCCCTCAGCCCTTCCAACACCCACCCTCATGCTCGCTCGCTCTCTCAATAAAATCTTTTTTTTTTTTTTTTAAAGATTTTATTTATTTGAGAGAGAGAGAGAGAAACAGCATGAGAGGGGATAGGGTCAGAGAGAGAAGCAGGCTCCCCGCTGAGCCGGGAGCCCGATGTGGGACTCGATCCCAGGACTCCGGGATCATGACCTGAGCCGAAGGCAGTCGCTTAACCAACTGAGCCACCCAGGCGCCCCTCAATAAAATCTTTTAATAAATAAATAAAATCAGGAAGATGCTACAAATATAATGGGGAAAGGAAAGGCAAGCCGAACACTGTGTAGTTTTGTCACACTGCTATTCTATAATAAAATATATCAAATCATCAATTATAACCACATTAAGAGTCTATTTCTCCTATATGGCACTATCCTCACACCTGCATTTTAGCAGCTTCTAATTAATCAAGGTGCTTTTTCAACCTCGGTCATACACTGGAATCATCTACAAAACTTTAAAAAAAAAAAAAAAAACTATTGCCTGAGTCCTAGTCCCAAAGATTTTTATTTTATTGGTCTATTATGAAGCACTTGTACCAGGTTTTTCAAATTATGCTGATTCTAACATGCAGCCAAGGTTGAAAATCACAGTTTCAATGGTGAGAGATAATCTGGGGCTGCAAATCTGGCATCTGGGACCCTTGAGAGGGGCCACGTGCTAAGGGTCTGGGCATGTGAAGACATCCTGCAGGAAGACTGTCTTTTTTACAGATGCATTTTCAGATACAAGTGATGTCTTCCCTCCAAAACCTTCAAGTTACCCAGCACTTCAGAGAAACTGTTTACTGGCCTGAGGAGGTCACTCTCAGGCACAGCAGTGCCTGCTGGAGTTGGGTCACCAGGTAAAGGAGAAAGCCTGCCCTGTCAGTCCCTGCTTAGCTGTCTGCCAGGCTGGCCTCTGAGGGCTTACTCCTAAGCACACAGTAGGCACTCAAAAGCTTGCTAAATGAATGAATGAGAAACACAGTGGTGTTATGTATTTAACCAAAGGCATTATCATCAACATCACATCAGATGGTCCATCCATTAAATGGGTCTTTGACCTGACCCTCCCCCATAGCAACCATGGCTAGCTGTAATGAGTCAGCCACATTTCTACTACCTGTAAATTGACTACACTCAGACAACATTTTATCCCTAAATGACCTCTCCTCCACAAAGTTTCTAATTTGCTTAGTGGCATTATTAGGAAAATCACCACCCATCAATTAGAATGTGTCTGAGGTAAGCAAAATTTTACTATTAATCTAAGGAAGATAATACGAAAGGAGACATTTGCTGCAAAAGGGTTGCATTTCTAAATCCACTATAGTAGATGAATTAGCATGTTGGCACTGGAAGTACAAGGGAGTTAGGAACTTGAGTGATTTTCACTTTAAGGTGTTACTGAATACTTACAATATATAAAGGTTTCACAGAGGATACCAAGATAGGCAAGGCTCTCTCCCCCATTCTCACCTTCCAGCTGTGTGGTGTTTCACTGTTTAATTTTAGCCTCACATGTATCATGTGAGATACTCATTTTCCTCTCCTGAAAGGGAGATATGATTTTTGAAGCTGGGCAAGGTCAATCAGCATCCTCAAATCAAAAAAGCAGGTAGGAAGGAGTAGACAAGATTTGAATCCAGGACTCTCAAATGCTAAGCTCTTCTGCACTCAATTCACAGCTAGTTAATATATGAACCCAGACCATCTTCAATATGCTTGAAGTATAATATAACCAGGCATTTTCAAAGAGGGTTCTACCACAAACTGTTTTGAGACAGTTGTCAACTGTCTCAAATTCCTGTACTTCATGTGCAAATATCAGTTTCTGTATATATGAATTTCAATGTTATTACTCATTCCTATGACAAAGTAAATTGTATCTTATATAGTGACCACTTCACTTCAGGTTATCCCGAGTGCAGATTTTTAAAAAATAAAAGCAGTATCAAGTCAAAATCAAGAAAGATTATTTAGCCAGGATCCGCTGTTTCCCACTCTTGTATTCATCAGCTAGTTAACAGTCATAAACCACCAGGGAAGGCTTGGAAACCAAGCATCATCCATCCATACCATCCAAATCTAGTTTTCAAATCATTCTGAATTTAGAATGTGCATATTGATAATCTCAAAACCAAGAATCCTTTCTTTAAAAAAAATTTATAAAGCTCTACATTTAAATTCCAAGTATAAAGAAGCCCAACGTGATTAAAAGAAAACTGAACAAAACGACAAAGCTAAGCCCCTTCCAAAAAAACCTTCAAGACAAATAAATCCTATCTTTAAAAGCCAAAAGATTCCTTCTGGTTAACTGTACATCAAGAATAACGTCAACATCACTTGACCCAGCTATCCTTACAAGCAACCTGTGGTCTCAAGGCTCGTAGGGATTTTTGGAACCATTAATCCAAGCCTTGGTCCAACGGCCATGGCAAGGATTCTAGAATCCCACCAGGAGAAAACCACATGAACAGTCATATGGCCTAAGACCTCCACACAGGCACTGAAGACTCCAGATCAATGCCACACTTCAGCACATGTATTCTATACTCTGCGTGTGGTAATGCCTTCTGTTTTGCATCATCCTGTTTAATCTAATATATATGCCACAGAAGATTCCTTCTTCACAAGAGGTAGAAAAATCACGTACAGACTGCTCCTGGCATGAGAAGAACAGTGAGGAGCAGGCTACTTAGAACCACAGTCAAGTGATCTAAAGCACAGAGCTGAAGCACTCCACAGGCGGGGGTCAGGGAAGAGGAAAGCAGGAAGAGTCCTTACAGTAACAAAATGCTGGTGGGACACACAGTAAACTCCAGTTTATCCCAAACTGTGCGTAATTCAAAGCAGCAGCCATTCCCCTGCCATCTACATTGCTTTTATTA